AAACAAAAATAAGAACATCACTCTTAGTCCTACTGATAGCTAAAAATAAAATATATATATATATATATATATTTAATTACTTCATGTAAATGTCCTTAATAAATAAGGTAAAATGAACTATTTAAAAATACAAAAGTTTCAAAAATATATAGATATTTGAATATCATATTGGCTTTAAAAATATTTTTTTTAATTTTGTAAGGAAACACTATTTCAACTGAATCCATCAAGAAACTTTTTTAAGTACTTAGGAACAAATAACAGCATTTCTACACAAATCCCACCACAAAATGATGACAATGATTAGAGGAAACAATTTCTATTCAACGATTGGTTTATGTAAAATCTGGTAAAAATATTACAAAAATTTAAAATCACAAATGAACCACTTTCATGAATACAGATAGAAGTGTACTGACCAAAATATTAGCAAAATAAATAGAGCAGTACATTAAAATGGATGGATCAGTTTTAGTCTGTGAATTATAACAGGATTTTAGCAATAAAAGAATACAAATAGCTAACATTAACATTAAAAAGAATAATATTACATGAATGAAAACTTGTCACATGAACAAATTAAAAAGCTCAAAAACCAATCATGAAACCTCTTAGTATTCAGAGAACAGATGAGGTCTTCATTTGGAAATTGATCAGTTTATTAAAATATTATACATAATTGCAGAGGTTTAAGAATAGTCAAGAGCATAAGGTCAACAAGATGACCCAGTGGGTAGAGGCACTTGTTACCATGCTTGTGGACATGGATTTGATTTGCAGGACACACATGATAAAAGGCGAGCCACAAGATACCCTATGTTCTTCTCACATGTACTGTGACACAAATGTCCTCATCACACAATGAATCAATAAATAAATTTAATTTTAAATGTGTTTAAAAAATAGTCAAGAGTCTTATAAAGAAGAGTAAGGAAGAATGGCTTTCTATCAGTTATTGTCAAGATATGATCATAAAAACGGTATAGTTTTGACAATGTAATATGCCAGAAGAATCAATGTGAACTCAATAATATCCAACATTCATATGACTAAGGAGGTGCCACAGGCTATGGGAATGCAGGGAATTGATTCCATTGGATACACACACACACACACACACACACACACACACACACACACACACACACAATTAAAATTCCTAGTAGCAAAGAACAAGGCTGCAAAACAATAAAAATCAATAAGGAAATTAAATATTCTAGAAAGAGTCGATGATTTATTAATCAGTACATATCATTAACATTACATTAAGGAGAAAATGTTAAGTTAAACAGCATTACAGTCCAGTTAGTGAGCTTTACTATACTAATTTGAAGAATGTTTGGATGTGAAAGGGGCTCAGTGGAATATTAGTGCTCTGCACAAGCCTGACAACATAAGTTCAGTCTCTGGGATGCATAGTTTACAGAATCCACTCCTGAATATTGTCCTCTGATCTACACACATGTGGCTTGCACAAGGACACACACACACACATCACAGAAGTCTGCAATACTAATGAATAAAATTTTTAAAAAAAGAATATTTGGTGACTAAAGATATCATAGATAGAATTAAAATAAAAACATATTGGTAAATGGCATACACCCATGTGTAAATTGATAGTATCCAAATTCATCTGGGCTATATTAAGAACATTTTTGAATCAATATGAAAATGATACAGTCTAGTAGAAAACTTGGGAAAGGACTTCAATAGACTGTTGAAAAATGTGCGTGTCCGAAAGACCAACAGCTGTGATAAATTCCTACTGGTTACTTTGTTCATCAACTTCATGTAAGTCAGAAACTGATTAAGGCCTCTGCTAACCTACCAGAATAGAGGAAAGAGGTGGCAGACAACTCCAGTACTGGTGAGGCCGTGGTGCAGCTGAACCCAGCCCAGTGCTGACAGAATACAAACTGGAGAGAGACGTTTGGAGAAAAGCTGCACAGGCTTATTAAAGCAACACATGAACAATTGCATTCAGTACATATTCAGCAGAAATTAATACATGTACTCATATGCATGTATACACACATGAATTTATTATTGTAACAATGGTATTCATTTTAACCAAAAACTGGGATGGGGTGGGGGAAAGGCTATGGGAGAGCAAATTTTCATAGATAATAGGAGGGATTCAATGGCAGAAATTTAATAATGAAGTGTATTTTTATAAATTCTGAAAATAAACAAACCAGTGTTTATCTTCACCAAAATGGATAATAACTAAAGATAGATATGTTATAGAAGAAGCCATTCAAAACAATCAGTAGTGCATAATTATAAACAGTTAAAACAAGTAAACTTCTCTTTGCTTCTAAGAGGGACAGTATCTGGAAGCTACTACTTCCCAGGGCAGAAAATGAAGAGTTTTTCCCAGTTGCTGGTCTGCTGAATTACAAAGTTGGGCAGCTCATATCCATGCATAACTCAAGCTCCAGGGTGATCTGACACCCTCTTCTGGCCTCCCAAAGCACCAGCAGAATGTGGCATGTATTCACACATACATACATACGAACATAAATAAAAACACAAATAAAACAGTAGAAATGAAAAAAAAGAGGTGTTGTAATGCAATTCACTCAGCTACAATGGAAATCAGTATGGAGTTGTCTCAGAAACTAAAATCAGAACTAGTTTACCTATTTCACACAACAAATTAAGGTAGTTTTATGCATACCAGGAACTTTATCTTAAATTGAATAAATTTGAATAGTAATATTGTCTAGAGATAGTGTTCAGCAGTGCAGAGGTAAGTTTCAGCATCTGGTGAATGTAGTGGTAGGTATTCTCAGTGCCTAGGAGTGCCTGCATCACTAGATGTCATCTGAATATTTTTATTTGGACTACTTGCTAGCACCTGAAAATAACTCCACTCCCACTACTATACACTACTTGTATAGTTTGTCATCAGAGCTCTAAGATAATTGGCAAACTTAGAGAACTAAAGGATGGTGTGCAACTTATTTTAATGCTACTTCTGGCTGTACACACACACCATCTGTATTTCAATTGTACACACACAGTAAGACACAACAGAACCATTATTAGTGGCTTCCAAACAGACCCTGACTTCATTCATCGTGTATCAGTTTGGGGACCCTTACAGATTTGCTTATTACGTGACTGGCACATTTTCTGAATTTCAAAAACAGACATAGTTTCAAAAACAGGATGAAAAGAAAGAATTTGGGGGTGGGGGAAGCTTTCAGGAAGTTGACTAGAGTCTCAAGGCAGGAGGCCAAGGCACGTTCATTTACGTAAGAAAGAGGGAGTGGGGATGGGTTAGGGTAGGTAATGGTAATTTTAGGAGGGCAAGGATCTGTGACAGGGTTTGAGAACAAGTTTGGAAAGGGAGTGTTGGAATGAACATTGACTGAGTTATTGATGGGTGGTTTTTTGCTGTGCAACACCTAGTACAGACAATTATCATTGGAGTATTTGGAGAAATTACAAAATATGAAGGTTGCACCCCAGTAGATAGAAAAATAAACACTTTAGGAAACAGAAAAGGCAGTAGTAGGGAAATATAATTAAATGAAAAAAAGAAGAATGTATAGAATCATAAAATAGCACTATGATATTTATAAATCAGTGCCATCCTACCCACATCTCCCTTTATCTTTAATTATATTTCCCTTGAGAGAAATAACACAATATTTTAGTTTCATTAATGCTATATTGTGTGACACATCTCTTTCTGTTTAAATTTGGTTGTTAGTGGATACTAATATTTTAAAAATAAACAAAGAGACTCCCAGAAACGGTAAAATGATCTAAATGACACAATTTACAATTCAAGGAAAATTATCATAATAAACCTATCATACATATGCACTTATCATACATATGTAGTATTTTGCTTAGATTTTTAGCGCTCTTTACAAATGATAAGCTTAAAAACATCCACACAAAGAAGGAGGTAATTCATATTTTAGTTCAAGGCCACAGCAGGAGATGCAAAATTTCTTCCTGAGCTGCTTGTAATTTGAAAATATCGATGATTTATATACACTATGTAATGAATCAAAATGGTCATCAAGAGAGTGAACAGTAAATATTTAATGGCTTTGTGAACATCAGACCTATTATTTTAACTTGTTTCCATTACATGTAAAAGGAATATTGAAAAATGGTGGTGTTTTCTGCTGAAGACATCATGTTCTGAAAGCCTCGCTGCTCATAAAAATTTGAACGTTAATAGCAACCTTATAAATTATTTCATCCTAATTTTACTAATGAGATACAGGTAGAGAGGGTAAGTGATTGTTCCCAGTCAGGTTGACTCTCGCCCCTTTTGGTTTGGTTGAGATCTGGTTTTACCCCACTCTTACTTAGTTACTTCCTATTATGTAAAACAAGGGCTTTTCAGACTGTGCTTTGACCTAGGACACTCTATTTTACAAACAGCTTTTTGTTCCATTCTAGAGGGAGATGACTGTGGCCCCTGGTGTACCCATAACCCACAGTATTCATTGGGTACCACCCATCTAGTTCCAACCGATAGATGACCAGTTCCTTGTAGTAGAAACAATGCCACCTTTTAAGTTTGTTGGTGTGAACTGAGACTTTGAGGGCACCTGGGCATTTTGAAAATCATAGCAGGGAAACTAGACACAAGAATGCATAAGACTCATTAGACCAAGGAAAAGCTGTATCTCCTTCACATGAACCCTGTAAAAGGATGGGCGTCTAGCACTATGATGGCAGGTCCTCCCACCAATCTATCATCTGTTACCCTGGCCCGAATTCTTAGTTATCTTATCAATACAGACTCTATTAACATTTCCATCAGCCTACTTCTAGGACCTTTTGAATGCTGATGCAGCTTCTTTAACTTATATTCATTCTGTCTAAAGATATATTGTCAAACTCGCTGTGGGCTGTGTGATGCATGGTCTAAGATTTAACGTTAATAATTAAGGTTGAAATAAAAGAACTTTCATTTGCCTTAGACAGATTACCAAAGGTTATCTAGCAAATTACTGTAGTTGAAACTACCAAGCCTTGCAAATTTATTGTTATTCAGTAAGTTCTGATATTGCTGAGTGACACAGATGTGTTCCTATGTGGCACAGAGCACACAAGACCATTTTCTCCCATATTTCCTCTAATTTCCCTCCAGTGTGGTGGGTCTTGTCTTTGCTTTGGTTATCTTTCCTCACTTCTGGAGTGCACCAGCCCCCCAACAATGCATTTTACTTAAATTTTCAACATAATCGTGGAGAACTTGGTATTCTATTTTCATTTGACTATTTTATTTTTCCCATTTTGGACTTCAGCACCTGGGAAGATTACTACCCTCATAAGGAGGGTATCTAAACACCAGCTCTCTTGTAGTGAATACACATCCTGAAGAATAACCATAGTAATTATATTGTGAGATAGAAAACCCAAATGGGTTCCAATTTCCTTTCCCAAAGCTAAGTATGTCCTTATAGGAAGATTGGTCTGAATTGAATTTTCCTTGCCAGTCCTTGGCCTTGCACCAAAATCTACATTTCCCTCATGTGTCTTCTGGCTATAATAGTCATAATGGGCATGACCCAATACTGTCTTTTGAAAACATCCCTTGCTCACTGTTGCTTAAGCCATTATCTACTCCATGCAAGTTCATCTTGCAGAGGGCTCATCACTGTTCATGCCTGTTTCCGATGCTGGTAAAATTCAATCAGTCGTTTTCCCTTTAGAGATCTATTTCTTCAGCAAGTATTTGTTAAGGACCTGGGCTCTTATTACCATCTTTACCAGCCATGGGAATATTTTGGTGAGCAAGAAAAAATATGTTTTTCTTTCCTGACATGGCACTGAGTCCAGCAGGGAAAGCAGGTACTTAGATAACTAAGACTATTACGCTCATCCTCATCCAGAAATTACAGAATCTGAGATGGTCCATAACAAGAACAGCTGATATAGTTTCCAACAAAAGTTACACTTACGAGGGCATTGCCAGATGAGTAGGATGTCCCCAAGCACCACAAGCCAGCTTCCATTTTTTACAGTTGTGTTTGGGAATTCTTCTTTACTTTCAACAAAATTACTCTGGGAAAAATATTTTTTAAATGCATTTCATTTGGAAATAAAACTAAAGGTTTTGTTGTTATTATTTTGTTTTTTTGTTGGCTAGTTGTTTGTTTTTTGTTTTGTTGTTTTGTTTTGTTTTTGCTCCAGAACACATTTGCTGCATTTAGATTTCCAGAATTTCTATAACAGGGTCTTAACTTCTGGATATTAAGTCTGCTATAGACTTGGTTTTCTAAGAATGGGTCACGCCCAGAATTGCTTAGGTTAGTGTCCTCTATGAGTTGGTAGGCTTCACCCCAGTCTTAGGGAGACAACCATTGGGGAAATGGGAACCATGTCAAGTGTGCATACTTCTAAGTTGCCCTCATTAACCCATATTGACTGCCATCATAGTTTACGGATTCCCAGTGCGACTAAAATTCTCCTCCCTAATTTTCTGCTAATTGCCTAAAAAATATTCTCTGTATGTACTTTTCAGCCACATGGCAAAGGCTCACCTTGATTAAGCCCTATCGCATCACCTAAGGCACTATGTTGGTGCACAAGCATTTCTGGGAACCAAAATGACACATGCCTAGGGCAATCGCCAGTTACTGCAACCCTCTGACTTGGGAGAAACAGGAATTAGAAAGATCAGTGTTCAGAATTCCTGCTTCATCTGTCTGGAGTTGTATATTTTTACCTAGGAAGAGAAAAGTTTGGTTACTGTAAATGGTTCGCCTCTGGCCAACTAACAAAATTGGGGCAAAGTTTATCAAAGTCACTTAGAGTTTGGAGCCAACTATCCAATGTTTTATCAGCTAAATCATTTTGGTGCCAAAACTTTTTGAATAAAACTGTTACCTTTGTTAGGAGATGGTCAGTCTGCTGAAATATGATAACCAATGGCCATTTGGTACATTAGAGAAGACTCAACTTTACTTCTCTCTAATATGTAGAGCAATATGAATATTCTAAGTTGTTAGAACTCCTGCTCCATGGAGTTCTAGAAAGTGAAAAAGTTGGCTGAAATTATTTGACTAGTTTTCATTCCTTCCTCCTTCTCTAGCCTATTATACTTATTAGGTAGGTAAATCAAGTAGCTATAGGTTCCTGTTAGTTGGAAGAGTGAGAAAGGAGGAACCCAAGGAAATACTGTCATCTGTTCTCTTCTTATTTCAGAAAGGGAAATACAAACTCAGGGTCACATATAACACAGGGACTCAGAAATCCACTTCTGGGAGAGTAGCCTTATGCCCAGCTCCACTGCTGTGGTGAATAAGTAGCAGATGCTGGTGTCTAACCAGCCATCTGCATTACCGTCCTTTAGAAATGCAAGCTGAACAATAAGCTTTACCCATGGAATGGGTTATTGGCTCTGCCAATGCATGTGTAGTTTTTCAGGAGCATGGGAATTTATTGGTTTAATAAGGAATGAGGCATGTTCGCTTTGGGCAAATGTCTGTGTAATTTATTGCTGCCCAACAAATCACCCTGCCTCCTAGACTTAAAGCAAGCGTTCATGAAGTTTCCCCTGAAAAAAGAAAGATGTTATATTTTTAGGCTCATCACGCCATAGACTCTCTGATTATTCAATTCTAACACTTTTGTGCACTATGAAGCTAATCTTAGATAACATGTAAGTAAATATATGTTGCTGTGATACCCCAGATTCTGCATTTTTAAAAATAGCTGATTCTAGGATTTGTTCCATGAGCTACATGCCTTTCCTGGCTTAAAACAATTGTATTACCTATTCTCATGAGTCTTTGGGTGATGTGCGGCTATCTAACACTAGGCAGGTCATCTTAGTATACTACAGCCACTGTCACGTAGCTAGTATTGTGTCCAGGGCCCTTAGCTGATCTAACATCTCTCTCCTGTGAGCTCCTTTCTGCTTCCTGGAAGGTAACTCAAGCTTCTTTGAAGTGGTGACCTCAGGACAGCAGATATGGCAACCTTGATAAATCTCTCCCTTAGTCATGCTGCCTAAAGTGATGTTGAACAAAGTGTGGCAATTAGGAAAGCCCAGATTGAAGTGGCAGTTGGGGTGGAGGGGTGGGGTATGGAGTAGCATATGGCAAAAGTGCACACACACGGAGACAGAGGAGTTCTTCTCACTTTGTAAACAATCACACAGTTTGTTAAGTAATAACAATTTCACTTCAGTATTCTCAATACTACACAATTCCATAAGTTTTAAAAATATTTTTGACAGTAAAATTACCTTCACAGTTTATAAACTACTTTGCAATAAAATGTGTATGCATAAGTTATTTTTACATATTGTAAAAATTATATTCTTAGAGCAGAAATAAAAAGGAAGGATCCAAAGAACAAATAATCCATGTTGAAGACTACCTAGATGAAAGAGGTTTTAGCTAGGCAAGTCAGTAGGCTGATTTACTGATGGTTTAATCTTTACTTAAATTTCTGATACCCTGCAGAGCCTACCTTTAATGGTTTACATTGTACACACTGCCTGTCATCATGATAGACACAGTGGCCTCTGGCTTAGAATATTCTATTAGAGTTTCCAGAAAAGCAGGGCATACAGCCAGCACCAGACCTCATAGTAACTTATCCAGGAGTGTAGTGAAGAACTGAAGCCACAGATTTACTCTAATTCTGAAGAGTGCTTAAAATACCAAGAGGTGTGTGTGTGTGTGTGTGTGTGTGTGTGTGTGCATGTGCACATGTGTTGATAGTTAATTTCTTTCAACTTTCCACAAACTTGAGTTAACTGGGAAAAGAGGAATTGTGTCCATCAGATTGCTCATAGGAACATGTGCGGGAGGGGCATTTTCTTGATGAATGATTGATGTGAGACAGTTCACATCATGGCAGTGCCACCCAGAATAAGTTGGTCTTGGGTTGCTTAAAAAAGCAGGCCGTGGAGAGCAAACTAGTAGACAGCATTTCTCCATGGTCTCTACTTTAATTTCTGTTTCTATATACATACATACACACATATATAGAATATATATCTATCCTAGTTGTGTGTGTATATATATATATGAATTTAATAGACAGATATTAATAATTGTATGTTATCTTTGGAACCTCATAATAATACTTAAAGGAAAACATCTCACCTGTAAAGCCAGTAAAAGGATTTTTACAAATCCTCTTCCCCTGGAATTATGATGAACTAATTGAAATGCTTTCTAGTGCATTAGAATTGCAAAAGTGTTCACTGTTCTGTAGAACATGCTGAATTAAATTACAAGAGTTATAATATTGATGTTTGCTACATACAGGCAACCTGAAATCTACCATCTATTGAAAGGTCTTCAGAATCTTATGCAGAGAGTACTTCCATTTTATTTGTTTCTTTTCCAGTGAAAATCAAGAAGGAAGACTTGTAAGGGTTAGGGATGTTGTCGGCCTCCTGAAATAACACAAGAGGACTAAAGCCCTGATTTGCCTAATCTAGGATGGTCCACATAATGCTCTAAATCATGTTGATAAAAGTCTTGAATCACCTGGGAGACTGACCTCTGTAGGGGATTATCTTGATTAAGTTAATTAGAAGGTAAGACCTACCCTCTGTGGGTGGTACCATTCTTAGGCAGGGTTTTGGAGAAAGTGAGCTGAGCGTTGGTGCACATGGACTCATTGCTCTCTTCTACATGTAAATGTGGTGTGTTCAGGTCCCTGCTGTCTGACTCCCCGACCCAGATGGCCTATGCCTTGAACTGTGAGCATTAGACAGGCTTTCTCCCTTAAGGGAGAAAGGGTATTTTAACAGAGCAACAAGAAACACCACTGAGCCACCTAGTGTTATATCTTACCCATGCTTTGTTATCACGCTTTATCTCAAAATCATTATGCTTCATTAACCTGGGATAAGTCCTGGTCCCACTGCCAGGGACTCCCCAGACAGATCTAGCCCCATAACTGTCACCCACATTCAGTTCAGTCCCATGCATGTTCCTCAGCTTACAGTCCAGAGTCCATGAGCTCCTACCAGCTTGGATCAGCTGTCTTCATGGTTTTCCCCATCATGATCTTGACCTCACTTGCTCCTGTGATCGCTCCTCCCTCTTTTCAGTATGGGATACCTTGCTCAGCCTTGACACAGTGGGGAGGGACTTGGTCCTGCTTCAACTTAGTATGCCAGACTTTGTGGAATCCCCAAGGGAGAGGACTTACCCTCTCTGAGCAGAGGATGAGGAGTGAGACGGGAGAGGGGGAGAGGGTGCAGGAGAAGGGGAAGGAGGGACAACCGAGAATAGTATGTAAAATGACAAAAAATAAATAAATAAGAACCCAACTTTTTAAAATAAGAAAAGGAACAAAAAACCTGCTGTGCTTGTTCTCCTACCAATCTCCTTGCTTCCCCTTCTCTAATTTTCTCTGTACACTCACTTGCTTATTTTTCTTACCTGCCACACAATTCTCAGACTTTCATCCTGGTTCCTCAGCAATTTAGCAGTAAGTAGATGCATAGAATCCCCATTACTAAAAGAAGATAGGTCCATATTTTAAGAAGGATTACCCTCAGTATACCAGAGTTTCATCATCTGGAAATGGAGGTAAAATATTACTTACCTAATATTGAGCAAATGCTCAATGTATTAAAATAAATCCCTGAAACCATAAATGATAGTACAAACAAATACAAGGATCTGGTAAGAAAAGTGATGCCTGAGACAGAAGCGGTCCAGAAGCGTGTGAGGCTAAGGAAAAGGCACATCCGATGCAGGCAGGCACACGCTAGTCATTTGAAGTAAGTTTTTCTGAAAGAAATAACATTTTTTTTTCAGAATAAGAAATAAAACTGGTTGTGAATACTCTCTTACATAACACAGTTTACACTGAGAATTTTAATTATTTGTTAAAATAACCAAAATACACATAGGCACTGTTTACCATTACCATGGATTGAAGGAATGGCTGATTAGTAATTAATTTTCCCAAATAACCATGTATGCATGTATTTAGCTTAAAAAAATAAGAGAAGCAGTTTTGTGATTTAGTTTGTCTAGCTGATCTGTCAGGGAACAACTCACAAAAACTTACCTATGGTTAAAACAGAGGGAGGTTTGCACAGTCCCAGAGGAAAGAGGGGTCAACCACCCCACCAGAGTTCTCATAATACCATCACATGGCTGAATTGAAATAAGTGGATATCCAGCAAAATTGCTCTTTCACACTTCTGTAGAAAAGTGAAAGTAGAAATTAAATCATTTTAAAATAAAAGGAACCTCGCTGTTTATTTTCTTCCCATGTAAAGATAGAATATGTGCTGTGAAATTGGTCATTTATAACGGACAGTCCCTACTGTGAAGAAGTTAAAAATCATCTTACCTTTTGTTTGATGGATCTTTTAATGGATCTGTGAAAAAAATAAGTGAGATCCCAACTTTCTGTTGAGATTATTACTTTTACTCTAAGGTACAGAGAAAGTGTCCAGTTAGCTGAACTGATCACAGCCTGGTAATGTTACACATCTTAGAATTTTGAAGAGTCATACAGAATGGTGACTAAGAATTTTATTTTGCCCTCGTGTATTTTCAACTACATCCAGGTAAATGAAGATAAAGAGATAGAAAACAGAGCTAATTCAGAAGACTGAAATTCAAATAAAATTAAAGCAACAGTATAAACCTCTGAGACAGGAAATGCAGGCAGGAGTGAATTCAATTTCAAATAGTAGTTAGTTGTAGTCAGACTGCAAACATAATTTGTAAGTCGTGCATCAGACCTCAGGAAGAACCCTATAATAAAATCTGTGTCTTGAATCTCCACTGACCTTTACTTCCTCAGCATACCATAATATCTGTTGGTCCACTGAAGCCATGCTTCCATGAGAGATGGATGAAAATTAAAGATTGTGACATGCTTTGAGCTGGGAAGTTGTCCTGGTGAAAAAAAAATCATTGACTTAAAGTTTAATCAAAACCCTTCTAATAGATGGGAAGTAGTGGGGGTAAATCCTGTCTCAACAAAATGAGAATAAATCCATTGAATATGGGAGCTCTGTTTTTCAAATGCTTCTCTCTGTTGTCACAATGAATGCGAACACCATCACTCTGTCAGAAAGTGCAGCTTGAGAACAAAATAGTCGTATCTGGCTTTTCCTCAGAAATTGAAGGCCTTGACTATTCCTTCTGCATAGCACATTATGCAATTGATGAACCAGTTTCTTCTCTTCAAAATGTAACATTATTGTAAGAATAATGTATTAAAACAATAACTGGGAGCTTTTTTTAACTCCACAGTAGAAAGTAATGAGAAAATCAACTTTTACCTGAAATTTTGAGCTGGGAAAAAAATCTTATTTCTTTCATAATTCTGGGTAAATTCTTTTATATTTTTTGACCTGTAAAATAATAAGGCAGTTTTAAAGCATATGATAATTTATTTTGTCTGCAAGAAATACATCACCGATGAATATTAAACCTAAACATGTTCTAGTTTAAACAGATTGTAAAACAGATGTCGTGAGAAAGCTAAATAAATAATAAATACAATGAGAGGAGTCAGGATTACTCACAGAGTGAAAATGAAAGCCCTAATAATGACAACGTTGTGAACAAAACATTTGAAGAAAATGCAGGATACATAGCTTATGGTTGGAAGTTCTCAGTTTCTTATACATTCTCTGGGATGTATTTTATTCCAAACTTAGAATCTAGTATCATGAATGTAAAGCATGGTGAAATTTTGAGGTGATATACCAATTATATTGCAGCATAAACATCCGCTTCAAATGTCCCTAATATAAACTCTACATTATGAAGATGTTATAGTTAATAGCTTTAGTTCTTTAGTAAAGAGACTAGAAGTTCTTCAAGTTAACTTGATTTGGCTGTGTAACCTCTCCATTTAATAAATCTTTTTTTAAAATCTTGAGTATTTTCTTTTTACATATAGTCTAATTTCCAGAAAGCAATTGAGAGTGTTTAAACTGATCATTTTTATGGAATATGCATGGTGTGACATGAGCAACATAAACAAATACATTAATTGCCTTATCATAGTTTTATCTGACAGATGGGTCCCCAGGCACAGAGCCTAACCTTTTATTTTGACACCTGCCACATCTTGCCAGTCCTGACCCTTTTTCTTTGCCAGAGTATCGCTGTGTGGTTCACCATGGTCACATTAATCTCCAGCTTTTAGGAGGCATAATGTTGGAGTCCTTCTGAGAATCACAGCCATCAGTCAGCTGATACCACAACAGAGAGTATTTCACAGATCCATCCAACATCCGCTCTCTCCTGTGATTCAAACACGTTTTCTCTTATTCCTGTGACCTACTGGCTCAATAAGATTACACGGAGCTCCATTCAGTCGAAGGCCCCATATTGTTAACATGTGACAGGAAACGTTTAATTTAGTAGTCACTTAAAATTCAGAATTAATTGGAGATTTTTTTTTAAAGAAGCTATGTTTTGACTTTTGTGCTAAATGATACTTTTTGCCCACAAAGAAAATGTGCATGTTACTGTAGCTTGTGAGTTAAAAACAACAGGAACACTTACATTTCAAAAGACAACGAACCATCAAGGCGATAATCATGTGTTGTAAATCACAGCACACACAATCTCCTACTTGCACCTTCAGTTTCTGGGGGGATTCCAGAAACCATTGTCACATGTTATGTGTCCTGGTTAGCGCAGCTAAAAGCACATGTCTGGTCCATTAAAGAGTGAGGTTTGGCTCTAAAGAGTTTCACAAATCAGTGAACATGCAGAAGACAGGTGAATTACGAGAGCACATCTATTACTGGGGTAATTTGGTATAAATTTCCAGAGATTGTCTCCTTAAGCAAAAGCAGACTATAACGAATTACAGAAAATGCTGTAATCAATCTTTGAGGGGTGGAATTTGGAAACAAAGAAACAGAAAACTAGATATGTAGATAAGAGATAGAATTTTAGAAGCACATAGAGTATTCCACTAGCTCAGACCAGTTCGCTTTGAAATATCACTGCCGAAATGTGTAATTTGTCTTCCTCAGTGGCATCTGTTAGTTCTGGAATAAGCTTATTTGATAAAATGTAAAAAGCCTGGGACCAAGTCTTGGTTAAGCTAAGTTTCTTAATAATTTAGAGGCCCATTTATGCCAGCCAGGATATATATGTACACTGAAAGAAGTATGGGATCTATATCTTACAACAGTCAAAGAAAATGCTGTTTCATGCCTGGGGCTAAGGGCTATTGGAGTCAAGGTAATTATAGAACGATGGCAGCTTCATGCACCTCTGCAGAGTCAGCAGTTCTGTAAGCTTTACTGATCCCTTATTAACATGACTCAGCTCTACTGCACATATTCCTCTTTTTGCCCGGACACTTCCCAGATTTCACAGGTCACTCTGAGGTCCCGATGCCTCTGATGTATCTTGGTATGCTATAAAAAATCCTTTCTTTATGTGTTAAATATAAATCCAGAGACAAAGCAGCAACAACAATAATACACCCAGCTCAAGTTTTAAAGCATAATTACCAAGTTTACAGGTTACTAGCCACACTGTGGCCTTGGTTCAATCAGCTGGGTAGAGGGCCAGAGAAAGGAAAGTATGTGTGAACATGGCAACTTGGTTGGTGTGCATTCTTGATGATGCTGATCCTCTTAGAGATTTGTCTTGATGGGTTGAACAATACTCAGAATGTAGTCCAGGCATGGGAAGTGTTCCTGGTGTTGCTCATTACCCACCCAGAGCAATGAACACACTAAAGACTGCAGTTTAGGAAACCTTTCAGCTCTCTGCTAAGGACATTTGACAGCTTCTGAGTCTAACAATCAAATCTCAGACTACTTTTTTCCCTAACTTGTTTCTTAAATTTTTATAATAACTCAATTATCCATGTTGATTTTTTTTAAGTGGTAATGATCACTAATATATTAGTGGTGAGTAAGAATCCAGAATTTTGCAGGATTAGAAGACTCAGATGGTTTTAGGCTGCCCCTCTAGATGATTAATATATAAAGATCAGATCTTTATGATCAAATTCTAATTCTCTGAGCACTGGGTTCCTCCTCAGAAAGCAGACACTGTAATGGCAACTCACTAGCTCACATTATCATTGTAATAAGAAGACAAAAATAGAGTGAATTTTAAAAACTAGTAATAGACTAATCAAAATTAAGTCATTATATTTTTCTCTTTTTCAACTCACTCTTGGGGGTTTAAGAGGTAACTCAGTGGGTAAAGTGTTTGTTATGCAAGCTTGAGGATCCCCAGATCCTGTGTAAAGCCAGACACAGTAGTGTGAATCTGTACTCATAGCACCCCTGCAGTATGATAGGAAGTGGAGACAGAGGATTCCTTGGAAGCTTGTGGTTCAACAGACAAAAAAACAACAAAGAGAACCGGTCTCAAGGTGGAAGATGAGGATCAACACCGGAGGCTGTCCTTGTGCTGTGGCACTTACACATAGTAACACACACACACACACACACACACACACACACACACACACACATCACATGCATATACATATACATACAAGTATATGCAAATCACGTACATACTAAGAACTAAGATTAAGAAATTTATCCATCATCTATCTATCTATCTATCTATCTATCTATCTATCTATCTATCTATCTATCTATCTAACTACCTATCTACCATCTCTCTACCTCCTGGAAAAATCAACATTTTTATAATAGTTATAGTTAATAGTTATTATTTGAATATTATTATCCATATTATTATAGATCCCCCATGTGATATGGCTGTTTTAGATCATATTGCTTATTTCTGTTGTATTTACTGCTATTGTTTTTTTTCCAAACAGCAACTAGATACTAAATTTGCAAAGCTTGCTTCAGGAAACATCCTGTTCTTGAGGTCTGAAGCTAACTTGATTATGAATGTTATTTAAAAATATTTAAGCAGTATAATACTTTAAAAACTACCAAGAGGAAGTACATATTTAATAAATTAATGAAAATATATTAAAGGCTAAAAATATCCAAAAGTGGGAGAGAGGGTTTCATGATAATACAGTTGAGGGAAGTTCATATTGCAGGTGGAATCCATGCAGAGTTTAGAATAATAGATTATATTTTGAAAGCTGCGGAAGAAACTACCTTATTTCGGGCATAATAAACCCTCCAATGAAAATCATAGATTCAGCTCATTTATGTATACATGTCCACTGATATATACATGCAGAAATGTGAGAAAATAAAGGCAGTCAGAAACACAAAACCAATAAAATTTAAAAGTCTACAAATAAACTGGAAACTGCAAGAGAGTTTTGTAGTATCCAGCACCTATTGAATAATATTAGATTTTTAAAACTGGACATCTAGAAATGGAGTTGCTGGACCAGTGTGCTGGTTCAGCAGGTAAAGGTAGGTGCTTCCCACTCAGCCTAAAGACCTGAGTTTGACTCTTGGAAGCCAATGGTCAAAGGGGAGAACTTCCTCTAACAGTTTTCCTCTGAATTCCAAGTGTTCTGTGGTGACACACAGGCCCACACACATGTATCTCTATACCAACAAACAAAAACACATGCATACACACATGCACAGCACTAAATAAATATAGAAAATGAAATAGAACTGCTTTTACAATATATCACTTCCCATCATGTATACCAAAGGCACATTACAGGAGTAAAGTGCTCAAAAAAAAAATTATTTCTTCCAAATACAATGCAATGCAACATTGTTAATGGAAGTTTCTTAAACCTCTTGAACATTTCAAGGAATAAAAGCACTATTTAAATAATATTAACATGTTTTTCTGTGGCCATCTGGCGTCTCAGTTTAGTGCAGAGAACAAACAAACTAAATGGCAGGAGAATTGCTTCCTTAATGAGCAACTTTATAACCTCAACAGTTTTATTAATTTGCAATACAGACATTCTAATTAAATTACAGAATTATCACAGAGTATTAAGAAACTTTGGACTACTGTACACATATAGTACCTTACTTAGAAACATCTACTTGGTAAGAATGTCATTCATTAATTTAATAATTTAAAACTACAATATAGTTAATAATGAAACAACGAATCCCATGCAAGCTTGTGGCCTTTCAGCATTCAACTGTGGCACAGAGTCTAAGTACAAAGTGGTGGTAACGTTCTTCTAACCACATGAAGTTGCTTTACAGATAGGGTTGAAATCAATGATCTGATTATTCCAGAAGCTGACAAAGCATGCCAGTTTAACGAGGTCACTGGCAGGCTAAGCAAGCATACTGTAGTGCTACAAACACATAGGGTGGACTAATCCCAGCCTGGAATTTGGGGACTAAGACAGTTTTAAAAGTCAGAGAGGTAACTCCACACAGCGATCTTCATGTACACAAAGTGAAACTGAAAATGAGAGATGTTTTCATAAAATTGGAATAGAAGCTACATGTCTAATTCACTCGAAAAAACAAAACAAAGCAAAAACCTCAGTTCTTGGGGGGGAGAGCAGGGGAAGAAGGGCAATAAAAGTGTATCAGAATTACCAAACAAGAAGGAATTAATGTGGAGATGATGAAAACACATCGAGACCATCTAGAATTGGCTTACAGCCTCCTCTGAAGTTTTTCTGTGCCCAGGGCACATGCAAAGAAGAGCTTATTGAACACTTACAAAAGGACAACACAATTGATTGGAGCTTTCTTCCCCAGGCTTGAATGTTTTAAAATCAAAGATTGTCATTTCCATGGTATTTGCCAATTAATATTCTTTGTCTTTGCTAGTGGTTTAGTTACTGAAGACCATAATTTTAGTATTGGAATCGTAAATATATTGCATTGATGGATGATGTCTGAATACTTCACATTTTTCATTTCATATTTTGGTCTGTAGTATGTCTGTGGATGTTTCTTCTTCACATGTATGAAACAGTTAATTTTGTTTCTCATTTGATGATTTCTTTACAGTAGTCACATAAGGCATTAGTCTTGTTTTCTTTTATAGAGAGCGGCCTGCCACTCCTGGCCTCTGATTCAAGCTCTATGCTGAAGAAAGCTGTATTAGTTGGACACTTAAGGGCTCCTAAGGAAAAGGCAGAGAAGGTAGTTTTTCAGTAGTAATTTTTCTAACCTCTCCTTTTATGTAAAATTAATTAATTTTGACATTAATTATTGACATTAATAGATTAGTTAATTAGGCAAATGCAACTCAAACCAAAGAAAGACCCAGTTCTTCTCCTGAGAAGCTCCTTTGTAAAAAAGAGGCAATTCATCTCCTTTCCCCTGTTAGAAAAGACAAATTGGTTCTGTTGTCATCATTTTCTAGTTAGCCTTTACGTTTCTTCCTTTTACATCTATCTGTTTATTTGTATGTTCAGGGTCCCCGACAGAGGTTAGACAACAACTTTCAAGAGTTGGATCTTCCCTTTCACTATAAGGGTTCCAGGAATTGAACTCAGGTCCCTTGGGCTTTGCAGCAAGCAGCTTTGTTCCATGAGCCATCTTGCATGCCCAGGACTGTTCATTTACTTTTAAGGCTCAAGTTTCTTTCTTCCTTTCTTTCTTTCTTTCTTTCTTTCTTTCTTTCTTTCTTTCTTTCTTTCTTTCTTTCTTTCTTTCTTTCTTTCTTTCTTTCTTTCTTTCTTTC